TTGCATGTGTATAATGTATGTATGTGTGCATGTTGAACATCATTATAATTGTTTAAATTGACAAACAAGATTTATGTAAGTGCTGATTGGAGAACAGGGATAGGCCACAAGATCAAGTTGAGAATGCATGGAAGGATTATTTTTAAGTAGAGAAGGGGAAAGTAAAAATTTGCAGTAAAAAGAAAATGTAAGTGCAAAATGGATGGTTTGTTTGTTTGTTTAAAGGAGAAATAATAATTGGGCAACTAAGGGAAAGTGAGAGACATTGAGCTGAAACTGTATTTGAGACAGCACAGATACTTCATTTATATTGAGAAAAAGAAATTAATACAATAAATAGAGGAGATTTTATATCCTCTAATATTAAAGATATGATAGGAGAATAAATAAAAATATTCCTAATTATATATATAATCTAGATATTTCTAATTATATACATGTACTCCTTATTGCAATGGTTATAACAGAAACTTACACAATAGGTTTCTGACTTTCCAAGTTCTAAAGAAACATGTCTACTCATTAATGTTGTGTCAAAGTCTTGTCTGACCATGTTGGAACAGCTAAAAATACACTTTTAAAATTCAACACTTCAATGGGGTGCCTGACACATGTCATGCATGTGTCACTGTTGTGTCACACACGTGTCATATGTGTGTCGGAGTCAAACATGTATCCAACACAGAGATACACCATTCAAGAGTCATGTCCATGCTTCATAGTCTATGATTAAGTAATTGTTGGGGCACATTCATATTCTTGAACCTTGAATACAAAATATAAACGATGACACAGACGAATGGAAAAATGTTATCTTTTAGTAAATAAGATGCATGCAGATAGATATGGACACATGAATATGTGTATTAGATTCAAGCTAAGTGCAAGTATAACAATAGTGAACCAACTAAGTCACACATACTTCCTACAGTTGCCAGTTTACCTACATCCTCATTCAATAAATTCATCTTGTTCCTGTTTCAGAAAAATTCATAACTCAATCCCTTAATCTTTCATGGGAATTGAGAACTAGCTCTCCGGACAAGAACTCAAGAGAAACATAGAAGCCAAAGGTAGATTCTTCAGCTCTCAAAACTAAGGAACATCAGGTAGTAAAGAACTAACAAGTTCCCTTTAGCACATGGGAGAAAACAATCATGTTTTGTATAGAATGTAGTCAATGTACAATTTTGCCATATATATTCACTCATCCCTTACGAATTCTGCAATTTCACAAATGGCACAACTGTACATGAAAATTTCCAATACTAGTAATCATAATAGTAACAAAAGCAATTATAGGGGAAAAGAGGCAATTATAGGGTATTTCCAGAAGAACTGTCTAAACGACCACTTTAGGAATCAAAATTCAGTTATACAATAAACTGCGTCACGTAATTAAGTACAAAAAACTGATGGAGCACTGTTGACAAGTACATGACAATAAATGAACAAATCTCACCCATAAGTATACTCTCGATCGGCTTTCTTCCTAGACATAGCCATAACAAATAACGAAAATGTAAGAAGACCACATCCAAAAGTCAAGTGAACCGCATCAGACACTAAACCTGAAAAGGCAAACGGGGTAGATCAAAACGTCAGCAGAGATTCTATTCAAATTCAGTTGACATTAATCGTTACACCAAAACCAGAGAACGGCTTTGAAAAGTAAAATTAATTTCCATGCATCACGTGTACAAACTCGCGAAATCACTCGAAATCACGAATATAAGTAATAAAAAGTAACGAGGATATGAATTTGAAAATTTAATGAAAAATCAACGCTGATTGAATCTGACCTATGCGGCCTGTGAAGAGGCCAATGAGCAATTCGGTAGTGGAGTACGCGACATTGAGCGAGATCATCAGGAAGAGCCTCTTCATAAACCTGTTTCCAGACCTAACGTTGCGGAAGACGGAGAAAACAAATGAGGAGAAGGACGATTTATGGAGCGAGGCGGAGCGCTTATCGTCACTCGCGGACCAGTAGAGGTGGTGGTGTAGGCCGTGTGCGGGAATGTCTATCGGCGTGTGAGGTTGTTGGAAGGAAGATTGGCGCGAAAAGGCGAATCGGCGATCGGTGGCGCCACCGAAGCCGAAATCGCCGTTGATGGAAGTGAGAGACTCTCTGGCTTCCTCCATCTAGGAAACCGGAAAAGATCGACGGGGGAGAAAGAAAACAATGGAATTTGATTGCGGCTTTGAGGTTTAGGTTTGAAGAAGGATTGTAAAATAGCTGCGAACCAAAATCAACCAGATTTTGTTCTTTCACTCAAATTGAAACTTCCCCTTTTCCAGAGAGTGCCGCGATTGAAGTCAAAGTAAACTCCCTACTTTTATTTAATATTATGGAAAAACATAGTTATCTACCTAACATAAATAAATGTTATTATTTACTTCGAGAATTCAACTAAGGTGCCCTGTCACATATTCTAAGATCAGATACAACAACTTAAGTAGTAAAGTAACTTTATATAAAAAAAAATAGTGTAATTAAGTTTTATAAAAAAGCTATTTTATTAAGTATTCAAAATTTTCAAATTAAATATTCATTGTTTGATTTTTTTTTTTTCATTATTTAGAGTGGTACATAGGAATTACTTATTTATTTACACATAAAAAATATATTAACAGTTGAGTTATATTTCAATTTTTTTTTATAAATTTAAGTATTTTTAGTTGAATTTATGTTAATATATAAAATTTGATATGGTTCATTAAAATAACTGTCTCAATATGATTCGTTTGTTGTTTTTTAATATTTAATTTATAAAATGAAACAATATAAGTTATTAAGATAGTTAGGATTTTAAAATTTCAATTTTATTTTTATTATTCAAGTTTGTTGTGTTATGTTCGAAATTTCAAAATTAAATAATCACTTAATCCTAATTAATAATAACAGTTTAATTTAAAAATTTAAACATTGTAAACATTAAATAAAATAAAATTTTAAAAAAATCAATTAAAAATATTCAAAATTTATAAAATACTTAAAACATAATTAATATTTTTTATATATAAAAATATGTATAGTATAATAATGTAAGGTTTGATGCCTATTTTAGTTTGAGCATGAATGGCTGGTGTATTTTTTTGTCTAATGTGGTTTTCCATGGCAATGATGCAATTAGGGTTTTTGAGTTAGTGATTTGGTTTCCTTTGGCAACGCAAAATTTTGCGATTAGGGTTTTCTGATTCGCGATTTATGACTTATGTTTGCAGGTGGTAATGTGAAGGTTTTATGATTTTTAGTGTTTTTATGATTGATCATGATGATGATTCACGAGTTGGATTTTTCGATTGTGAGAATTTTGATTGTAAAATGGATCAAACTCTTGTTTTGAATTATTATACCATTGACACACAAAATGTGACAAGTAGGTTGTCTTATTGTATAAAAAAGGATTCAAAATCTCAACTCACTCATCAAACCTCAACTTAGTGGATTGGCAAGTCAATCCATCAACTTTTCTTTTTAAATATGAATATCTTCTAAGCTTTTAATTACTTAATTGGTGGCTCTAATCAAATAAATTAAAATAATCTTACATTTACATGTTAAATTTTTTACTATAGCTAATAATTAAAATTTAATTTATCCATAAAGTAACATAAAATAGAATTTATTTTTAATTTCCAAATAAAAAATAGACCAATCTATTCCACTTTTGACATATCAATTTGGTAGGTTAAGTGACACTAGACAAAGCAAACTGACAAGTTGAAAACTTCAATCAACCCACAAATTTTAATGGATTAGTGGGTCAACGTGATCTATAATCCACTTGTCACCCTTTCTTTGTGTGTTGTTTGAATTATTATCACGATCTTAGATATAATTTTAAATAATATTAACTTGATGTTAGAAAATATAATTTGTCGCTTTTGTGAGTATACTTTTCACAATCAAAGTTGTTAAAATTACTATCTTGGTAGAAAGTGTTTCTACTTTTTTTTTATTAACAAGATAGGAATATTGATTTGTTTTTCATTGAATAGATGATATGAAATTATTGCCTCTCCATTGATTAAAATTAACATGTTCTCTTTCTCTAAAATTACCATGACCACTTCTTCTAAAGTTACTTCTTCCTCTATTACTGAAATTATTACCTCTGCATTCAACACTTTAACTAGACTTTGTTGTGTTGTTAAAATTGACTTGACTCTTCAACTATTTCTCTAATATTTTTCTTACGTGAATTTCAATGTTTCCATGTAATTTGCTACTAACAGTGTTTATGTTGTGGAAAAGTACCAAAAAATTTTCTCTTCACCTTGTTGCCAGATAAATTTCTTCTCCATAACATTCTCATTTTATTGAGGTCGATAGTAAAAGTAAAATATTCAACAATTTATGAATTGAACATCTCACCTTCGTCATAATATCTTTCATAATATTGCAACTTAGATTCCTACACTTTCTCTATTCTTTTGTAGATAACTTTGAAGTGTCTCACATTTTTTACAGTTTTGGAATCTACAATTTTACGGAAAATAGAATAGTAAACTTCTTATTGGATTTGTGATAGTGTCAAATTATCCTTATTTTGACTTTCTTTATTAGCTTCTTGGGATAAAACCAAATTAATAAAGCTTCAAATATTGTAAGTCTTAAAATGAGTAGTTATTAACAATTACAAATAATTATGACTAAGTTTTCAATCCAGTTTGAAGCCTAACCATATGATATTATCATTCATTATCGAATCCTACTCTTAGGCTCAAGATTGCTATGTTGTTGCAGGTGACATCAATTTCCCTACGAAGGTGACCAACAAATACTAGATCTAATTCATAAATAATAATAAAAATAATAAGTAATTACGAATATTTATATACTTTAACCCCGAGTCATATTTTTCTCGTACTTTTTATACAATTATATAAAGAAAAAGTATGTTTTTCTTTCTAGAGTTTTATGATGGTTCCATTGTCTGGGTCATGTTACCATACTGCATCGTGCATATTAACCAAAGTGCCGTCTAGAGGGCTTGATTTAGAAAAGGGGTACATTCTCAAAAAGAATTTAATTAATCTCGATGAATGTTATGTTTACAATACCAGAGCAGATAGCAAAACAGATGTCATTCTTTCTTCTGCAATGGCAACTGCGTACCAATTTGATATGGTAGGTCCAAAAAGTAGTTGGGATTCGCAGGCAATGATGCACATTGGTGTAACATGTCAACTGGAACGGAAACGGTGGTAGTCTACCTCGTTACAATGTTGAGTTTAAGAAGCTTGTGACAATGGTGAATTCAACAAGTCAACACTCGGAAGTTCTTGCAGAAGACGTGCAATTTCTCACTAGAGATTTTTTTTTCCCTTTTACTTACAATCTTCTGATACACCACTGTGACAAGTGAAATGTTAAGAAAACCATGATCATAGATATTTGACAACTCGGTATGGAAAATAAATAAGAATGATGGAATGAGTGCAGCTGTATCTTCCTACAACTTTCTCTTAATAATCCTCTTAAAATTAAATACACAAAAAAGAATGCTTAATATCTTCCAAAATATAACATATATATGTATGTAATTATGGATCAATGTTACTTTTATTTTAGAATTTTGATGCAATGCTGGGGTGTCTTTACGAGCGGATAATTGAAAATTAAACGCATGTGATGATGATACCTAGTTCATTATGTTCGTCATTTATTTTTCTGACCTCGGATATTATATATGAGGCTCACCTCCTTATCGTTACTCATGACTGCATATGATGATCCAGCGTATAGGCCCGAATATCAGAAGGACTTGTACCCGGCCTAACAACAACCATCAAAATAATATTATACGGCATGAAAGATTTAAGAAGCCAAGCATCAGAAATATTACGAAACACCCGTTGTTTTCATCAGTTTGCGTTTGCACAGAAACATAACTGAAGGTGCAAACTCACAAAGTGTTGCCCTTTCTTGTCCTAATCAAATGTATGCAAAAGCGTAGGCGGCTAATTAAATCAACAATATGAACTTTTTATAAAAAAAAAGTAAAGTATTACTAATGCAATCTCATCGTGATTTATATTCATCTAAGCATAATTTCCAATAAAAACTTCTACTTATTGAATTATTAACCAGTCCTACTAAACAATAGTTAGCAAGATATTTAACTTATCTACATGCATTTTGCTAACAACTATCCCGGGACACACTGGACCTGAATAGCCATTAAACTAGTAACCAAACCAAGCAAACTAAATGAGATGAATGTAATTAAACCAGTTAACAGATTTCTGTCTAAACCCAAAGTACAATTAATTTCACATGTAAAATAGTGTCCTGCCCTCAAAAACCAGACAATACAATAGATTTAGGAAGAACAATCTGGAGTTGGGAAGAAAATACCTTTTGTTAATGGTTCCATAATGGAATTTGAGTTTTCCGGTCTTAATATCCTCAACATACTGTGACCATGAGAAATAATACAAGTTATAGAATGAGTAGGTGACATAATAAAACCTAAAGCCATCAAGTTGAAACGTCTGATTCTGAATCATACCAAACTTAAGGTAACCACCATCGATGAAAAGGATAGAGAATTAAAAGGTATATCGTCAAGTGGAAAAAGTTGGCATGCTGATGATTCTGGACCAGGTGAAAAATGCGGCTTCTTCAGCTTCGCCAAGAATATCAAATAAATCTGCCTCAAACATTCTATAATCATGATCAAAATTCTCTAACTAGTCAAGGAAATAAACAAAAAATAAATAGAATAATAAGCAATTTCTCACTTGGCCAATTAAAGGAATATCCAGTTGGGCAAATGGTGAAATTACTTCCACATCTGCATTTGCTTCCTCCCTTGTTTCTCTTATGGCACCATCCACAGCCGACTCTCCTATTTCCAAATAACCAGCAGGAAGTGTCCTTGTTGAACCAAAATATGAAATTAACATACCTCATTGAGGAAAAGATATGCAGTATTTATAATATAAAAAAACTAGTAGCAACAGCATCACTGTTTTAAAAATGATTTTGGGAACAGGAAAGTAACACGCACATAGACAGAAGCAACCAAAATAGGAAGTATAACATAAAATCCATTCCTACCAAAGGCCATGAGATGGTTGAATATTCCTCTTGCAAAGGAGCACCTTGTTATCATGTTCAACGAGGCAGCCAACTACCTACTTTGCCAACCAAAATCACGTCATGTTTAGAAGAAAATAAATAACCATGTATCAACTAATGAACTGAAAGAAGAGCTATGACATACAAAATAAATCATCAATTTCAATGTTAAAGTTTACCCTCTCTCCTAAGTGATAAAACTACAATAAATACAACAGATCTTAAGTGATAACTTCAGTAAATAAGTGATAACTACTTAAGAGTGTGTGTGTGTGTGTGTGTGTGTAATACCTAAGTAGTCTTAAGAATATTAGAAATGACACAAAGTGGTCCCCCAAATATGCAAAGATCCTTCAAATTGGTCCCTAAACTTGACTAAAATACATCAGCTTGGGAACTACAGTGAAAGATATTTAATACTTTGGTTATTACTTAAATAGCTTTAGTAGTTGAGGGACTACTTAAGAGAGAGGGTAATAGTTCAGGGACGAAATTGACGGTTTATTCTACAACGACTGTACAATTCTTTTCCAGTCAAAGGTTAGAGAATCTCAAAAACACAGCAAGGAGATATAATTGTTTTAAAAATTGACAGCACAAAATTAATATAAAAATAATGTAAAAACGTAAATCTTAAATCAAAAGAGAGAATTCGTGTTTTTGAAATTATCACGAGTCATTGTAGACATAAAGAAATATTATCATTTCATCTAAATTATAGGGGAATCATAAACACTAAAAGAAGTGAAAAAAAATTATAAAATGCGGTCAGAGTTTCTGAAGAGTCCAACACAAATACAAATACAATACAGGTACAGCTACCATTTTAAATTAACCATGCTTCCATTCAGACAACATATAAAAACATATGATACTCCTCCAAATCCTTATTTGTTATACATTTTCATTAACTATTTTGTGAAGAGAAAAATACTTAAAGAATGAGAGTTATAACCATACCATTTTGAATCATGTTATATGCAGATACCTTAACCTCCATATACATTTCAGCATCAAATTCATGCATCGCATAGCATTTTGTTTTAATAAAGAGGAAACCTTTATCCTAAAGATGTTTCAACTAACCTGTTTGCTCAGATCAGTGAATAATATAGGAAAACATCAATATCATTCTCTCAAATCTCAATTCATAATGCATCTTAAAACTCAAGCAAAACTCAGAACATTTAATTTAACAAGAAACAACGATTTCCAAGTTATATTTCATATGCACTGTATTCTATACCATGAACCAACCATAAAAATCTCAGTTTAAACTTTAGGTTATCCACACATAATTCTGCTGTTCTCCAGTTACTTACAACTAAAGCCACAAACAACCTCCCCAAGAAAACTTTAATGAACAGGAACAACTATTTTTCCATAAAAGCAAACAATATTACAAAAGAGAGAGAAAAAAAATCATTTTTAAGCAATGAAGTACTAATCCAAATTTAAGTGATACACAAAATACACTGCCCCGATAATTCGGCATATGACAAATAAAAGAATAAGTAAAAACAATTTCCTGGTACAGAAACAAGTGATACACTACCCACGCTACTGTCATGTTGCAAATCTCACATCATAGCTAAGACTACATTTAAAAACAGTATCACGGCAACACTGCAACACTGACTTTGTAAATCAATTCATATACATTAAAAAACAATTTACTTCAAACATACTTGAATACCCGCCATTACTTTACCAACAACAAATATTTTCCCAACTAAGGGAATTCTAATCTACTGAACGTATGCACGACATCATTCGGCTGCGCTAAATACATAAATACCAGTTATTACTTCGCAAGCACTAAATCAAATAAACCAGAAGCTAGAGAGATATTTCTAGACAGTCACCATCTTCGGATTCTGATACGCAATCTTCCCACAAACCGTACATATAGCTCTAAACTTTTCTTCCCCTTCAGGAATATCATGCTTCGTAGAACCACCACACCACTGACAGAACTTAATGTGTCGAACATTTCCCTACAGTGGCCCGATCAACACATTTCAGCGAACCGTTAAAATCCACAATTGCAAGATTCTAGCTTTGCATCATCAACAACAATAGACATATATATATATATATATATATATATATANATATATATATATATATATATATATATATATATATAATGCAGTCACAAAATTAACATTAGAAATGCGCGAAGAGAACTCACGGCAGAAGGAAGCGGTGTCGAGGAAGCGTGAAATGGCGCGAATCGAACCCTGCGAACGATGGTTTTGGTGGGAAGCAGTTTGGAATAAGGGTTAGGGTGTGGAATTGGGGAAAATGATAAGGATGAGAATGCCCGGGGTTTCTGAATCCATCGTTGACTTACCAATCCACATATCTGAATCTGGATTCCCTTCACCATCATTTTTGTTATTCAATTATGAATTGGAACACGCAATTATACGCAACCAAACCTTTTTCGGTGTTCACGTTTCCGTTTTCAAATTCAAAATCACCCAATTTAATGAATAGAATGAACCACTCTCTTCCCCCCTTTTCTTAATCCAAAATCCTCAAACGATAAGACCTAAATCTTCTTACTTCAAAAATAAAGTGTATCTGTTTTTAGTTTTCGAAAAAACATTTTATTATATTAAATAAATGAAAAACATCATTATCCACACAAATTGTTAGATGATTATGATACACTCTATGCATGAAAAACTGGCAGATTCACACGTATACTTCTCATTTACTTACTTTATTTCATTTTCTTCCAATCCCAAGCTACCTATTTGAGATTTTGGGGAAACTATGTGATAAGTTGAAGAAATTAAAAAATGTATTTTATCTTGTCTTGAAAATAGGAATATTATATAATTCTTAAAATAACACCACTAACTCTCGTTAATAACACTTTTCCTTTTAGATTGTTTGTTTTTCAACTTTTTCAATTTACATTTAAACTTATTTAGTCTATAAGTACACCTACTCAACTCAAATGTTGCAAAAAAATGCAACTCCGACAGGAGTTTTCTGGATATTATCAGCTGAGACAATAAATAGTAACTTTGAACAGTAGAGATTCTTAACATAATTAGCTGAGACAATAGATGGTAAAAAATGGTACATTTGACCTATCAAAAAAATGGTACATTTGTAATCGTAAAATAGTATACATGTTATTTGCATGATCATCTAATAAAATTATTTAAAACTACAAAATACAGTGAAAGCAGGATTGCTGTGTTAAATAATATAGCACGGTCAATGATCTGGTTTGATCTGGCTCGAGAATTCCAGAAAAGGATTAGCATAGGCCTGAAGGATCCTCAATCCAAGGCCAGCTTATCACATAAAGATTGATAAGCTGCACTGCAATGCTTGAACTTCTCTTCTGCTATAGCCTATCAAGTATCAATGTACAGAAAAAAAAATTAAAAGAATTAGGAAGTTATGCAAACTAATAATAGAGACTCCAGAACATCGAATAGAACAAAAAGGAGGAGGAATATAATCGGTGGTTAGAGCATCGCAGCACCTTGCAAGAGCCTTGATGACGATCTGGATGCCATTTTAGAGCACATGCCCGGTACCTGATGATATAAAAATGTTAAGAATATCGTAGTAAAGAACTATGGCTTCCTAACATTTTAATGAAGACGAAATTACAGAAGAAGCAAAAACTCACGCATTTTTTACATCCTCAAGTTTCAGAGGACCAGAAGCACTCAATCCAAGGGCTAATCTATCCGGAGTTAAATCTAAACCAGAACTATCAGACTCAGATGAAGATTCATAATCATTTTCGCTTTCATGCCTCCAATTCCATGATCTCCCAAAATTAGAGAAGCGTTCAGCCCTCCTCCACTGAGGATTTTCCTCATTGATGAAGGACCAATAGAAGAATCTATTCCCACCAAAGGCAGAACGGAAAATGGTTTCCACATCAAAATCATCTTCACAAAACACAGGATCTCCTGAAAGAAATAAGGTTTGTTACCAACTTACCATTAATACATTCGACTCCAGAGTAGACTTCATAAGTATCTAGCAGCTTCTATGTTTTGTTGAAAATAATAAAAACAACGTAAAAAATTACACTGATTTCATAAAGATTATGATGCAACTTGAAATCAAATCCTATTCATGATATCCACAAGTTTAAATCTCTCAATCCTAAATGAGTAAACAAGAAGTTTCCAGCAATATTATGTAGGATGATCTCCTAGAGATACAACCACCTGTAAAGAGAGGTAGTACTACAAGATACATGTAATATATTCTGTTACAGCACAAGTATTTGAAGCATCCTTACTTCGGTACCGATGATTTGATCCTTGTTTGCCATTCCTGTACCTTCCAGAGCCCCCATCAAAATATTGCTTTTTACGAAACCATGAGGGGTCCTGGCTTGATGGCAGCTCGTCCTGATCAATACCTTGCTTCCAGCTCTAAACGACGCACAAAAAAGTGCAACCATAAGCATCAAAACATCTTAGCACAAACAAAATCACGGAAGAGAAGGGGTTGAGTTTACTTCTTCATTAAGTGGTTAACAAATAATTTTATTTTATTTATTTTATTACATTAAAACTGAACCCATCCCTACCAATCTCAAAAACTCCATATACCTTGCAGTATATATTGTGAGGATCATTTTAGCATCAGTGAAAGGGGAAGAAATATAGATCATACAATTGTACATGAACAGTCAAGATTAAAGGCAATTCAAAGGTGCATGGCCACATAAAAACATCACTTCTATGTTCTAATCTTCAATATTCATGAAAAAATCTAATGGACAGTATTTGTTCCTGTCACTCTCACATAAAAAGGCCTTCTAACTTGATATCTGTGTTTGCGTACGCGCTATATGTATGAAAGCTTCCCACTTGAATATCAGCAATAAAATAATGTCATGGCTTCTCCAAATGTTGCACCTCCCAAGTCACGTGATCCCAAAAAACATGTAATAACATGAATGGGTCTAATGTCAATCGTTGGCAGTGACATTGATGCATTTTACAATAAGTTTATTGAGGGAGAGTGGGATAAGTCTAATAGATGGGTCTTGTTAGTGTATATAGTGCAAATATCTTTCTGTTTTGATTTTACATTCTGTTTTGCATTTTGTTAGTTTGTTGCATAGGCTCAGCTCTTTCTATTATACCTATTCTCTCTCTGCTTTCATTGTGTATATAATAGATACTCTTGACTATGTCATAATCAGAGAAGAATATTTTTCACCTCTTCAATTCTCTATTTTATTTCTCTGTACAATTTATTTCTCCTTTACATTGAAGATCATCTTCCATCATGGTAACAGAGCTTGAAACCCCCCTTTTATGGGTAAGGGTCCCGAGACTCTGTCTTCATTCTCTTCCATGGCTACAACAACACCTGTCATCTTCTCGTACTCCATATTGAAGAAATTATCTGACACCAACTTCTTACTTTGGAAAGACCAAGTCGAATTTGTGATTAAAGCACATCGTCTCCACTGATTTCTTGTTAGTCCTCAAATTCCTTTCCAGTTTCTTTCTCTTTCTGATCGTGATTTAGGGATTGAAAATCCTGAATACACTATTTGGGAAACACAAGATCAAGTGTTGCTTTCATGGTTGCTATCATCTCTCTGCCTCATTCCTGACTCATATTATCAGTTGTAAGCATTCCTTTCAAGTTTGGGAAAAAGATCCATACACACTTTATTTCCCAAACCAAAGCTAGGGCTCACCAGCTACACACCTAGTTACATAATATCAAGAAAAGAGATCATTTGATTAATGAGTATCTATTGCGGATCAAACCTCTTGTTGATTCTCTTACTTCGATTGATGAACCTATTTCTGAACATGAACAACTTGATGTTCTTATTTAAGAACATCTGGTTGAGTATGAGTCCTCTCTCTTATTCATAGCAAGCCTGATTTGTCCTCGCTGGATGAAATAGAGTCTATTATTGTTGCTCAAGAAGCTCGTATTGAGAAGTTCAAACGAGATGGTGACAGTATTTCTCTCAATCTCACTCATGCAAATCCACAAACAACTATTGCTCCTACTATTCAACTAACTCAAATGAGTTCTTAGTCATCGCAAATTTTTCCAATGACTCTTCTCACTGTTGGTAGATATTTTCAACGAGGCAGAAACTCCTGTGGTCGCCGAGGTGGACATTCTGGTCGTGGACAAATTTGGTGTCAAGTCTGCAATCAAATTTGGTCATATTGTTTCTCACTGTTATCACTGCTTTGACCTCTTCAATTCTATGTTTTATTTCTCTATACAATTTATTTCTCCTTTACATTGAAGATCACCTTCCATCAGGTCTGATGCCTCAGTTCTTACTCTGATACTGGTCATCAAGAAAGAATGGCCAGCGCTTTCCTACCGGCTGGATGTATTGGCAAGAGGCCATTGATGATGTTAACCTTCGATATGTTATCCTTAAATTGCGGGTCACAAGCTCACAGCATATTTTGAAGTTGCAATATCTTGTTCCTAACTTGGTATAGGAGATCACAAGCTCACAGTATATTTATGAACACCAAATAGTCAATGCGAGCCCATACGTATCGTCATTGTACACTCTTATTTAACATGTGTCACTAGATTAGACATAGAAATCCATCCTACCAATTCACAATATAGTTTGTCAAGAACCATCTTGCTTAAACAGAACACAAAGATTTAACCTATCCAAACAGATTGTAGCAGTTCCTAAATGCTAAATACGAGGCTGTTCATCACTGACCCTACTTCTTAATAAACAAGTGAAGCATGGAAAAGACATTAAGGAGACACCACAGAATTACCTAATTCAAGCAACACTATATAATATATTAGTCTATAAATGAATGCTAAAATTACAAGAAACTGCGGATGCCTACACATACAAAAACATGAAAAGGAGAAGAAGCATGGTGAACCTGAAACAGGGTTTCTGCATAATCATTGATACTGTTCATTATTCTATGTTTTGCTTGCATCCGTCTAAACCTTCTGGAGTTATGATTGCTGCCTCTCTGCAATTAAACTGTTCTCAGCCCAACAAAACATATAAACAACACTTTCTACACAACCAAAAGACATTGAACTCTCATTAATTAGTTCAATAAAAATAACATTGTTGGGTCACAAACAGTTCCGAACATACAAAATCAGAAAGAAAAATGAAAAATTGACGCGGTGAGGCCCACTATCAAAAGACACAATGGTTTCCAATGCAATAATTGTTGAATGAAAGGAAAAGTAGTGAAATGACAACATAAAGCATAGGGAATTGAGAGAAACTAACGGTGTCCCAAAAATTGCGCCGTTTACGTTGCAGGGGAGGGGTTGAATGGAAGAGTGCCCTGAGAGAGGAATGAAGATTATTGCTGGTTGAAGCTTTGAAGATGGCGCTGCTCATTTTCTCTGCAATTCGAGTCCTTTGTTTTGCCCCACCTCGGGCTATCGATGGAACTTGTTTAAGACGAAAATTGGAATAATCCTAAATTAGACCTAACCAGAATCAGAATGGTCATCAAAGACCACAAACTATTTGAAATGGTGGTTTATTCATTAGGCAAAACATTTGAGCAATTCATCACTTTATTCTTATAGAATACTTTTGACTACTTATTAAATAAATTATTTTTATTACTATTAGAAGGTATTTTCGATTGCATAGAAATAATAATTAATTATTATTTGAACTCATTATACCTAAATTTGATTTTTTTTGGATGAATTTGTTAAAAATCATTTTAAACTTTTAAAATGTAATTTTTAT